ATGGGTGGCCATGATTTCCTTGGATATTACCTGTAGATCATGAGAGCATGAATACCTTGGTTTTCTATTATGAGGTGCTGAATTTGATAAGAATCAGTTTCATGTAATTCATCTAGCCTAGAGAGCAGGTTGAATGGAAGACAGGCAACAGGCAATATGGACACACTTATTCTGGCTAAAATTTGGTGAAGCATATAACTAAAACTATCTTTGGCCATACCATGTACACTGACCATGTACTTTCTTCTGTAAATAAAACAATAATACTGGATTTTCCTTTTAGGGCAATGAGAGACAAAGTGAAGCAAAGTGGAGTCTGTTTCAAAGCAGAGAGCTGAGCTGTCCCTAGAAGGGGGTCGACCCAAGGTAAAGCAATTGGGATTCTGTGTGTGTGTGTGTGTGTGTGTTTGACAGAGTGCAAAGCCACGCATCTGTTTGGGTAAAATACCATTCCCATGCTGTAGTGTCCTCCAGCTTCTCTTTGCTAAGACTAAGATCTAGAAGGTAGCTTCCCTGTTGGCTCTATTAGGTAGGAAGGAAGGAAGGAAGGAAGGAAGGAAGGAAGGAAGGAAGGAAGGAAGGAAGAAAGGAAGGAAGGAAGGAAGGAAGGAAGGAAGGAAGGAAGGAAGGAAGGAAGGAAGGAAGAAAGAAAGAAAGAAAGAAAGAAAGAAAGAAAGAAAGAAAGAAAGAAAAAAGGCCCTCTATTAGGTAGACAGGAGTAAAAATACACATTTGCTAAAAACCAAAAATCCTAAATTGAATGAAAGCTTTGTTAAGCATGGAATTACAGACTAGAAGTCAAATTTGGAATCCCTAAATGGAAAGAGACAGTGACACGGAAGCGAGATTTAACAAGTATCATAAGTAATAGGACCAAGGTGCTCACCTAGACTTCCTTTGGAATACTTTTCTGTAGAATATCTTTGGCAAAGAGGAGGAGCCTATTGGCAAAGATTTCTTAAAGACTGGGACCCAACCTCTGGAGGCCCTAAACTGTTTTAGGGCAGAAATCTTTAAACTAAGTACTAAGTAAGGTACAGGAAGAACATCAAGGCCAGCAGCATTTTCTTGCATGTAATTATACAAATAAACAATATAAATCAACTACATTGAAATTGTTTATTTGGGAGCAGGCAGGGAGACAGAATTAGTGAGCACTCCCATCTAGCTAGCTCACTCCCATGTGCCTGCAAAAGCTAGACTGGGCCAGGACAAAGCCAGGAGCCAGGAACTCAATCCATGTCTCTCATGTGGGTGGCAGATCTTAATTACTTGAGCTATCAATTCCTGCCTCCCAGGAAGCACATCAGAAGGAAGCTGGAATTGGTGGTGGATCTGGGTCTTAAATCAAGGCACTTTTGGTAGTGTTGCAACCCAGTATCCTCATCACCAAGTGATACTCACCCTTCAGCTAATTTTGTAAAGAAACCTTAATGTTTAAACAACTTTGTGACCAATAATCAGTGGTAAGTGCCAAGGCAAATGGCAAACCCTTGATTTTCACCAACAAATAGACTGTTAAAAATGTGTGGTATCCTGGAAGGATATCTGCTGCATCAGGCCATAGCAATGATCCTATCAATATAAATAACAAGAAGGGCCCTCCAAAGAAACAGAGAGAGGACTGTTTGCCAAATGGGATATGAGTCTTATAAAATCTATGTATTAAGTATGTAGTTCCTGAATGGGAGCTTTTATTGAAATGGCTTGCCTTCCCCAGAATTCCAAATTTGTATTCATGCACATTTAATTTATAGGCCACCATTCCACAAAAAGCCATAGCCAGATCTGATTAAAACTTCACATCACTCTGAGGGCCTGGATGAGAGTTTGAGACAGTAGTAGTCTCTTTGAGAAAGCCAAGAAAGGAATTCCATAGGAGTATGTATGGAAGGAACAGTGTGTATGGATGTGGAGAAGTCAATGACTTAACTACAACAAATTTTGTTACTAGTTACCCAGATGACAGTATCTTCTTATTTTGTGAGGAGTAACCATGTGCCAGACTCTAGTAATCAGTCATGACGGAACGAAAATTTTGCTAGATGCTGCCCTTCCATAGCAAGTATAGAAGGTGACTGAGAGATTTGAGACTTTGTCTCTTAAAAAAAAAAAAAAAAAAAAAAAAAAAGGCAAAATAGGAGAGCTGCTAGCACTGTCTTTCCCTCATCAAAAGAGATATCAGATGTGGTTCAACAGCAGCCATCTTAACACTATGAGGAAAAACATATGCAGACAAAAGAAAAAAGGAAAAGAAAATATTGTGGGCAATCCTAAAAGACTTAGTAGAATTCTAACCCCCAATACTTGAGAATATGAAATCATTTAGAGGCAGGGCCCTTTACAGAAGTAATCAAGTTAAAATGAGGTCATTAAAGTGGGCTTTCATCCAATTGTGACCTTACACAATGTCCTTACATTTACAGCTGTCTCTGTGTCCTCATAGAAAGGTGAAAATAGGACTCAGAGACATAGTCACACATGAACACCATGTGAAGACAATGGTGGAGACAGGGGTGATGCAGAAAAGCCCAGAAACATCAAAGATTGCAGCACATCACGAGAAACCAAAGGGGAGGCCTGGAAGAAATTCAAAAAAAACTAATGGAATGGGAGAGGGAGCGGGAAATGGGAGGGTTGTGGGTGGGATGGAAGTTATGGGGGGGAAAAGCCACTGTAATACAAAAGCTGTAGTTTGGAAATTTATATTTATTAAATAAGAGTTAAAAAAAAGGAAAAAAAAAAAGAAACTAACTCTGCCAAGAACTTAACCTTGGACTTCCAGCCTTCAAAACTGGGAGAGAATAAATTTCCATTGTACAAGCCACCCAGTTTGTTGTGCTTTGCTATGCAGCCCTAGTAAACTGACATAGACAATGAAATGTTTTGAAAAATAGAAAGGGTCTGGTCCTAAAAGGCATCACTAAACTACTAAACAAGTCCTTCTTGAGTTCTTATGTGATGGGGTGGGGTGAGGGGGAGATTCTTGTGTAAATTGCTGTTAGTTGTAATTATGTTAATTCCACCTACTGAATTCTGATAAATGTTTTAAAATCAGCCTTGAATAAAAATAGGATTTTGATAGATACAAGTAGGAGGGGACACATGAGCAAACTCCCAGGCTAAAGGGGGCAGTGAAGTGCAGGTTAAAGTCAGGAGCGAACAGAAGCCTAGCAGAGAGCTGGACTGAAGTTTCTATGAGGGAGAGATAAGGTCCAAGGGTAAATGGGGCCAGATTGTGGAGGGTGTTCATTGATATGCTAAGGAGGTTTCTCCATGGCCAGAGGAAATATTGGAGCATTTGAGTAAGGGAAGAAGATAATCAGGAGTGAACTTGAGTAGCAGAAATAAGCAGTATGTAATGAAACACTGAGAAAGCTGAGATGGACAGATCCAGTAGGATCCTATATAAAAGATAACAGAGCTTTGATTAAGGTAATGGAGCAAGAAATGGAATAGAAGGGGTCAGTGTGTGATACTGAAAAGAATGGACTTTCAGAACATAAAATGTGAGGGAACATAATTATCCCAACATTTTAGTCCTGAGTTAAGAGAACTGTATTCTACACATACTGGAATCACCTTGGGAGCGCTAAAAATACTGACACTCAGGTGCCACCCCTGGAGGAGTTTAATTGATTGGAACCACCAGAGATTGAGGTGGAAGGGATGCAGGAAGATATGGCAAGGGCTATGTCTACCACTCTAGAAGCAACAGCAAAATTGACATTATCCAATTCATCTTATTTTAAATTCACACTTTCATGTCTTCATTTACTTACAACTACTTCTGACTGTTCACCGTATCCAGCCATGGTATTAGAACTAGCACTACAATGGTGACAGCATATGCACACTCGCAGAGCATTTAGTCTTTACTAAATAAAATCTGTGGTTTAAAAATAGACTTATATTTACTTGCCTGAGATTTGTGTGTTTTTTTTTTTAAATCAAAACAAAATTAAGAAGAAAATATAAACTTTTTCTTGGCTATAATAAATGCTTTACTTGCTGTTGGCATTTTTTCAATGGAGGGAAAAAAAGATAAGGTGTTATAGGAAAATAAAAATGAATGAAATCAGAGAAGACTAAAGATTATGACATTGTTTCCCTATAACTGAACAATAATTTGTTTTGTGTTTGTTAAAGAACAGATATAATAGGAATTAATGGTTCCTAATATGATTGCATGCCAGAAAAAAAACCCACAATCATTCAATAATTAATTCATGTTTTTCCATTCTTTATGGCCTTCTGCTAATTCAACCAATTTCACAGGAGACATACAATATTTTACTTAAACATATAACTTATGTAAGCTTATCCAGCAATGTTGTGTTTAGAAATAAAATTAGCACCTAAAAATTCAACACACAATTTATGAGAGTCAAATTTAATTGCTCAATTTTTTGAAATTCTCTAGTAAAGTTGTGCAGTCTCTTCTTTTTGTTGCTTGATGGAAATACGTCTGGTCCCATCACAGCTCTTTAATATCAAATGCTGGGCAGGAACAGAGAGTAGAGAAGTAACAAGAAAACCAGTCACTTAGGCTTCCTTTGTCTACTTTATATGGGTTGAGGCAGAGAGAGGAAAGGTGGAGGCTAATGAGGGGCTTGACACTACTCATTGTAATAACATTTTAAATGTTTCCAGATAGTTCATGAATTTCAGTGATGCCTGAATTTAAACTTCTATCACAAATGACACAAAAGAATGATTATATTTTTAAACTATTTAACTTTCTGTCATGGGTTTCATTTAACTTGTCATGCATTATTACCATTGGTGTATGATATTTACTATTTTTAAAGTGGTACAAATTAAACCACAATTACGAGTAATGTCTACCAATTTCACAAAAAATTACCATTGGTATATGATATTTATTATTTTTTAAAAAGGTACAAAATAAACCACTTTTACAAGTAATATCTGCCAATTTCACCAAAAAAATGTAGTGGGACACCCAACAGGGGTATATAAATACACTGAGTACTCACTCATGGTGGTGGGAATCTGGGGAAAAGTGAACCATTCTCTTGTTATTGACTGGGCCAGTACTGGGCACCTGGAGGGAGATTTAAAAAAAAAAAGTAAGTCAAGAATTTGTTTGCAAAAAGACAATGGATCCATTTGAGGACATCATTCTGAAATAGAGAACATAAAATTAAAACTCAAATCTAAGACAAAATGGAAAGGATCAAGTGAGTATTAAATGTCTAGAAAGAATGCTATACCTGGTGTTGTCTAGTATAGTTCCTCTGTGAGAATTTTAAGACTACTCTAAAAGTTTCTTTATAAATGTGTAAATACTTTTCTTATCCAACAGACCAGTGACTCTTATTTCCAAATACTGTTCAACCATGCACATAATCTTACTTGAGAAAAAGAAATTTAACTAGATCAGTATTGAGCAGCTGATATTTCTAGGGGCCCAAGTTATGTGCAGCTACTCTCTAACTATAAATAACATGTATTATCACCTACACATTTTAATGATTACACAAACACAAGTTAAGGAAACAGTGAAATTTAATAATTTCCCCATAGTTAGAAATTATCCATGTATTCACATGGAATAAAATGTAATTTCACCTAACAACATATTTTACTCCTTTATTTCTAAATAAAATTAGAAATATGACAAAGAACTATTCATATATTTTCTTAGTGAAGTAAAGTATTCCCATTTAAAAAAATTCTCAACGTTCCTATTTCATGGAGGATTTCCAAAGGGGGCAAAAACACAGTACCATGTACTACCATCACAACTGACAAGGCATGAGCTTACACTGATAGACCATTATGCTCTATCATAATAAAAACAACTGTAATTGTAGAAGTACCATTTTATGTAACATAATTTTTAAAAAAAGGCTTAACAGGAAGCAAACTACCTGTAAAAAAGAAAAGCCTGCATTTTCAAAAGTTTTCTTATCTCTTGGGTAATACGGATGTCAGCAAAGAATTCCAGAAATGCAAATATTGTAAATGTACACAGATAATGCCATTAATAACCCAATAGCTTGAGCACCACAGGTAAACATGTGGCTCAACTCCAGGACTACATCCTGCATTCATCTCAAAATGAGGTTTTCATGCTATTCCAGTGGGTATCCCTGGAATACAGTAATCCATTTTCTACACTGTGGCTATGAGAAAAGCCGACTGTGCCTATGTCATGCTTTGTTAGAGGTTCATGATCACATTATCTCATGGTGGACCTGACACTTTTATTCAGTTTACAGTATGTTCTATGTACAGGCAACTTATTTCCTTTGCCAGGGCTGCTGACAACCTTTTCCACACTATATTAATCTTGTTTACTGACTTTATCTTGGTACAAATATCAAAAAACTGAACTTTTTATCTCAGAGAAAAAATAAACAACATGTTGACAGAAGCAGAAGCTATTTTCAGGACTAAAATTGCTTGTTTACCTGAAGCTACACTTATGGAAAAATGTTTAAGTCTAGCTCTTGCTTGAAATACATAATCTGAAATTTAATAAATGAAGAAATTTCACATACACCCACGTGATAAATTGCCTGATGAAAACAATGCAGCTGAATACAATAAAATAGAATTTATAACTAATTTATACCATAATACAAATGTAAGCTTTCAATCTAGTCAGAAATAATCATACTACGTATTTCTCAGAAACTGTATATATGTATAAAGAAACTATAAGCTCAATTCAATTGCAGCAAATAACTCAAAGAAGATTTACAGTATCAAATGAGATATTTAAATGGTTTTACATATTTACGAAGCACATGGCTCTTTAAAAAAATAGAAGTGAATTTCCTTTACTCTTATTGAAAGTCAATTTCCCTTTTCTTAAAAAGGTAGCCAAAATAGGCATCTTTTATAATGTTGAAAAAGTGAAATAAAACAACACTGATAGACAAGCATGATGGTCTGAGCATCAGTGGCACTGGTGTGCCTCAGAAGTAGACTATTTCTACAATGAGAACCTTTTGCTACTTTACAATTAGCCACCCTTATGTAAACTCTGAAAATCAGATCTTTCAAATGGAATTCAACTTGTTCAAAACAGTGTTACACTTAAGTTCAAGTTGACTTTAAACTGGAGGATGGCCCAAGTGCTTGGGCCGCTGCACCCACATGGGAGACCGGGAGGAAGCACCTAGCTCCTGGCTTCGGATTGGTGCAGTTCTGGCCATAGCGGCCATTTAGGGGATGAACCAGTGGAAGGAAGACCTTTCTCTTTCTCTCTGTCTCTCTCTCTCTCTCACTGTCTATAACTCTACCTGTCAAATAATTAAAAAAAAATCCTTATTCTTTGACCCTAAATTATGAAAAAAAAAGTTGACTTTAAGCATTATAATGTTTAATATGACTGATTATCAGTAAAAAACTTATTATAAACATTTAAGAAACATACATAATGAATTATTTGGAAAAATTTATAATTGTTTCATCTCTAATTCCAAGTAGACAATGTTTAGAAAAATAAAGTGAGGTGGTTTCAACATAAAAGCAATAATTTCTAGGAAACCATTAAGATGACAATTTTATTCTCCAAAATATATGCCTTCCAATAATTCCAAAAACATCTTAGACAAAAATCATAAGTTGAAAAAAATCACTTTAGGGTCCGGGGCTGTGGCACAGCAGGTTAATGCCCTGGCTTGAAGTGCCGGCATCCCATATGGGCGCAGGTTCGAGACCCGGCAGCTCCACTTTTGATCCAGCTCTCTGCTATGGCCTGGGAAAGCAGTAGAAGATGGCCCAAGTCCTTGGACCTCTGCACCCATGTGGGAGACCCGGAGGAAGCTCCTGGCTCCTGGCTTTGGATTGGCACAGCTCCTCCCCGTTGCGGCCAATTGGAGAGTGAACCATTGGATGGAAGACCTCTCTCTCTCTCTCTCTCTCTCTCTCTGCCTCTCCTCTCTCTGTGTAACTCTTGACTTTCAAATAAATAAATAAATCTTTTAAAAAAATCATCACTTTAGGTAAGAATCTCTATATTCTTAAAGTTTTATTTATAAAATGCATGAAGTTTTTATGCCTTAAATAAAAGGTTTCTGGGGAACAACAGCAACAACAAAATAAAGATAACTGCTTTGAAAAATCACTTTAAGTATCGAATAAAATTTATTAGTAAAAAATAAAATTTTATGAAATAAAATTTATTTTACAAAATAAAATGAATAAAAATAAAAAAATTCATAAAATTTTATAGAGAACAAGGAATTTATTCTTCATAAGAAATAGGATCTCTGGGGACCCCAATGAGGTATAGTGGATAAAGCCACCACCTGTGGCGCCGGCATCTCTTAAGGGCACTGAATCCTGTCCTGGCTGCTCTACTTCCCATCCAGCTCCCTCCTAATGTTCCTGGGAAAGCAGTGGAAGATGGGCCAAGTGCTTGACCTCCTGCACCCACAGGGAAGATCCAGAAAAAGCTCCTGGCTCCTGGGTTTGGGTTGGCGCAGCTCCATCCATTGCAGTCATTAGGAGAGTGAACCAATAGATGGAAGATCTCTTTGTCTCTTTCTGTAACTCTGCCACTCAAATAAATAAATAAATCTTAAAAAACCCCCCCAAAAAAACAAGAAACAGAATCTCTTATCCAACTCCTGTTATTGTTAAAATTCTGAAAACAGTCATTTACGTAATTAGCTAATATTTAGTGATGATGACCATAGATATCACACATTACGGGCTAAATCTCATGACTCATTTGTTAAATATTACTACACCAATAACTACAATCCTAATAAAATAGCAATATTACATTTCATTACCTATGCTTACTGCACAGGCTTTTTAACAAGAATAGATAACATTACTGTTATGTCATAATGCTAAAAGATCACGAGTCTCAGTGTTTGCTGTTGGGTTCACAATCAAGTTATCAAACTCAGAAAACAGGGAATACAGGAGTAAAATGAAAAGTTTACAATAGTCGTACAAGTCCCACTATCAGTTCATAAAGCCAGCAATATCAACATTGGGAATTTACATTATATCAATGGCAAAATACCCAGTCCCTAAAGTTTAGCAGACATATTGAAAGCAATTTCTTTTTCTTTTTGTCTGTGACATATTAACACTAGTTTTATGACTTTCAAAAAAGATAAACAGAACAGATGGTTTTATATCTCATTTTCATTTTGTCATTACCAATTCCATTGCATCCCACCCTGTTCTTCTACAATTATAGCTGAACAAATCTCTTCTCAAATCAGATACCCTTATCTGAGAAGCACAATATTATCAGATCAAAGCCAAGGTTCAATATGAATGATATCCTGCCAACAGGGTCAATGAGTAATATTCTTCCTGAAAATTAATGAAGTTTCACATCCCCATGTAAGTACTAGAATCATCTTTGCTTCCTTCCCCTTAGTAAGGCCATTCCCCTCCAACTTTACTTTGATTTCCAGCTTCACTTTATTTGCTTTCCAAATGCTACTCTGCTTCAGTGCCCGCACTGACAAACACTTATGGTGGCAGGGTGCCAGCCAAAAGAGGGCTTTTCAATCTTGTGAGGACTGGTCAATCAGATCTGCCCAGGTGCTAGGTTGTAAGGAGGCCTAGCCTGAGCCTCCCTGCAGTTTGTCAAGACCCAGAAGTTTTCTGCTTCTCTTAGTACAATTATTAATTTGACGCAACTTCTTTGAAGAAAGAAGTAAGCCTTCAAAGTCTGGCAAGCTCTGCGTGAGGGCTTCTAGTACGTTCAACAAATATGTCAATCAATACATGTGACAGATATTATGGAAAACAACTTAGCAGAAACAGGTTTAAAAATGTGACTCTAAACCTTAGGGGTAGTAAGTAAGAGGAAGAGGGCAAAAAGAGGTAAAAAGAAATCAATTTTAGGTGCTGGTCTGTAAATGTATCATCATTTTTAAAAGTAAGCCAAGGAAATTTTTCTAAATGTTCTGCTGTAACTAATCAAAATGGTTATTAAAATCATTCTGTTTGGGTGGCCATTTGTTTGGCACAATGGTTAAGTTACTGCTTGGGATACTTTGATCCCGTATCAGAGTGTCTGCGTTCGAGTCCTGGTTCAGCTAATGTGTACCCTGGAAG